ACTCAAGCATTTGATGCAGCTTCCCAGTTTCCAGTTTCTTCAAAAGAACAAATCAGTCTTGTTGCTTTAAGGCCATCCATTACTGGCATGCAAACATCTTGCAAAATTCATGTGGAACATGGTTACCAGAATGTTATAGTTCTACCATTCCTCTAAAATTAACAAAGCTTTTAGGACTACAATTGATGTAAGATAAGTGTATTCATGTTCTCTAAATTTGAAGATAGCCTCTCTCTGCATTAAGGCTTATTATGTTAAGGGTGTGATGGGTAGATCAGAAAGTAGCAACCGGTAGGAAGCAACCCCTGGAAAAGTACCAGAGTAAACAATGAAGAAAAGGATTTTAAAATTACCATAAGAATTAGATCATACGTATGGCTCTGAACGGCACGGACAGCTTCAACTCCATTGTTCACAACACCTATTGTATGGCCTAACTGCTTCATCATTGACCGTGTCACCCTTACATTAACCTTGTTATCTTCTACAACAAGGATCCTTGGCTTCAAAATTGACCCCTCTACCACTGGGCTGCCATTTGACATGGTCTGAGAAACTGTATCAGGTTTCCCCTGCCTTTGAGGTGATATCTGGGATTCACTAATCTTTGAAGTTGTACCAAACTCTCTGCTTGCTTCTATGTGATCTGACATACTTGTGGTCAAGTTCTTGAATTCAATATCTGAATCATCTTGATATTGTTTTTCTCGACGAATTGCATTTTCATCATCAGGATCTGGGCTGTGACTAAATAAACTTTCAGGCTCAGAAAATGTCTCTACAGCTTCAGCAACAGCATAGGCATCCTCAAGACAAGCCACCTCCTTTGTTCTAACATTGTTTGAGGGAAATGGATAAGAATCCCTTAAGAACCCATTAAGTTTAGGAGGATTTGTGGTGGTGATATGGTGCTTTTTGGTATTCATTCTGATGCAGAGCTACACAGCCAGTTTAACTTCTCTACTGACAGTACAATAACTGTGACCAACGGCAATTGATGTGGCTTAACTGTTGAAGAAAGGAAAGAATGTTGGGTATCCTTCTGGCTCCTTTGTTGAGCGACTTGTGAGACAGTTGAGGTTCAATCCATACAAGAGGAAGAAACATAAGACCCTAGATGATCTCTATGAAATTTTTGCCAAGGGAAGCATCGCGGCTGCTTTTGATGAAATTCCCTACATGAAGCTGTTTCTTACACAATATTGCAACAAATACACCACTGCAGGACCAACTTTTAAAACTGATGGCTTTGGATTTGTAAGTACCATCTCTACATTTCTTTTTCACTCTCACACCATCTGCATGGTTCTGATTAATTGGTGAATCTATAGGTGTTTCCAAGAGGTTCTCCTCTTGTGGCAGATCTCAACAGAGCAATCTTAAATATTATGGAAGGTGATAAAATAACTGAAATTGAGAATGCATGGTTTCAAAAGCAAACAAGTCGTCCTGATTCAGGCACCACAGTTTCTTCTAACAGTCTGAGTGTTGGGAGCTTCTGGGGCCTCTTCCACATTGCTGGATTGGCTGCACTACTAGCACTTATCATCTTTGCAGCTAAGTTTCTATATAACCAAAGGGATGTGTTTCTTGATTCTAAAACTCCAGTGTGGGATAGAATTGTGAAATGTCAAGAAACTTCAACAAGATAGTCATGAGTTCACATCCCTTTAGGAAGAGTGAACTGACAGAGAGAAATGGGATTGACAGCATTCATTTGGTAGGTGCCACTGAAGCTTCACCGAGCACCAACTGCATGCCAAGTCCTTCAACCATCTCAAACCAGACAGATTCGACGTTTGCTTTATTCGAAGAGCAGGAAGGACCTTCAACAGATCTTGAAGATATAAGCGGCACAATATCATCTCCTGAAATAGGAATTCAAACATGCTAACACAAATAATTCATAAAAAAGAGAAAAAAAAAAAAAAGCAGTTGACATAAATATTCATTCCTGTAGCTCCAATGACAATAAAAATGTAAGCCCCCTGCATTTTTTAAGTTAACAAGATTATTTTTAGTCTAGATTTCATACTTTCTACATAAAGCTACTTTCCATCCACAGAGCTAAATTGTGCTAACAGGATGGATTCAAAAAGATTAATCTTACATTCAGTTAGGCGTTTCTCGTTTTCTTAATCACCTTTCCAAGAGAAATTCCATGAAAATCAGAGAAATACAAATGTAGAATAACATGAGTCGATGACAAGGATCAAGAACTAACCGTAACGAAGAACAAATTGGTCGGCGGGCTAAACTTAGGAATCGAAGTGAAGAGGTTGAAACCGGCAAGCTTGAAATTGATGAAGATCAGGAGAATCCAAGGAATAATTATGAATTATTGGTGAGAGTGTTGTTGTTGATCTGAAATTCAAAGAAGTGATAATAAAAGGCTGATCAACTATGGGGAAGCTCTTGACTAAGGTGAGTACTCTCTCGATGGCCTCTTCGTTCGTTAGATGATGATCGTGTGATGAAAAAACTGCAATGGTCCGATGGCAGTTAGGGTTCCGACAAGTGGCGGACGACGGCCACTCTCAGAATTTCCATATAAACCGATCCTAATCCATCTACAGAGAAAAATTAAGAAAATGGAAGGCCAAAGAACATTTATTTTGACTACAAGAATCAACAGCTTATGGCAATGAAGAACAAATCGATCGCCGGACAGGGTTGAATCGAAACAGGGGAGCGTGAGATTGTTGAGGATCATCGGAATTGGGGAAAAATTTTAAAGAAGAAATGTGAATTATTGCTTGGTTACAGTGTTTTCGTTAATAAAAAATTCAAGGAGGGACGAAGGAAGAAAAGTGGAGAAATAAAATAGAGGGAAAAAAAATGCAGAAGAGATATAGATTGGTTAATTGGGCCATGTATTTACAGATATGGGCTGCTGCTACAGACCCATGGGCTTACGATCGAGTTCAAAGAATGGGTCAAACCGTAGTCCTCTTGGCCCATTTAGACTTCACATAATTTTCACGCGATTAGCCCTATCGGTCACGAGTTGATTTTCAATTGATCATACTAATCTGACCAAATCAGCCCCAAATTTTGATTGTTTGCAATGGTAGGTAAATGATTTTTTTTTTTTTATGTCACACGATAGCCCACTCATTGTTTTCAAAATCAAACTGATGGTCAAACCATTTTGATTTTCAATTTACAGTTTTGACAATTAAATCAATTTTATCAGTTAAAAAATTAAGTTAATTAAATTTTGAAGATATATATTAAATGTAATGTAATGTAATTCACATCAAAGAATTAATAGTGACACAAGTGATTATGAACTCTTATCTATCTTGAGTTTGAGTTTCAAATTCAATTTATGTAATTCTATTATAATAAATATATCTTAATGCATTAAACATTGATACACTTGGTTCAGATCAAGCAACAAAAAAAAATTTAAGCATACAAGATAGCCTGTGTTCAAATCCCACAGAAGTCACTTGAGTTTTTATTTTAAAATCTTTGTAATATTATTTAAAGTATATTCTTTGCAACTCACTTCACAAAGGGCTTGGATGTTTTGGTGGCAAATGACTTGTTAACTTCTTGTGAAGTGTGGCGATTGAAACCCAGAGGTGACAAGCGAGAGTGACTTTAGGTAGTTGAATTCCGTAAATGGTTTAGATACTCATCCAATCTGTTTCTACTACTAGGTCTCAGTTTAATCAGTCAATCCAATTCAAATTTCAAAACAAAACTTGATTTGAATTTTCAAAGTAATGAACCCACTTAGAACTTCATAGAACTTCACTGACATGTCATATGAGTAGAACCTGAAAATTCAAGTCTTGATTTGATCAATTTATTCAGTCAATCCGATCCAATTTTCAAAACAATAAACCCACTTAAAATTTTATTGGCATATCATGTAAGTAAAACTTAAAAATTCATACTTCACTCGAACTTCCAAAGCAATAAACCAATCTAGAACTTCATTGGCATGTCATGTGAGTAGATTTTGAAAATTCAAGCTTCACTCGAAAGATATATATATATATATATATAA